CCAGATAGAATTTTGTAATTCTAAGGTAGGGAGATGAAGGAGAAAATGAGAGATCCTGTAAATATCTTAGAGATCCAAACAAGACCAAACTAAAACCACCACAAAGTAGTAGATTTCCATAAGAGAAACGTCACTAGAGGAACTTGATTCCTTCAGTCCCTTGGGTAGCAGCATATATAGACAACGTGGAGGAACAGATGCATAAAGACAAGAATACATAAGCAAGACAAGAGGATCTTTCACTCATGAACGTACGGAAGTCAGGAATAATTGGAACAAAAACCAACACAGTGACAAAAGTGTACTACTCTATGCATCAGAAACATGGTGACTTGCAAAAAAAAATGTTAATAGCTACAGGCATTTAACAATGGCTACTTACTTTTAACTAAGAATTCATTGGCTTGATAGCATAAGAAATGAACAACTATGAGAGCTAATAAATCAGAAAAATAGGTGTAGAAATTTTTTTTAAAGTGAAAATGGAAGTGAACTGGTCATACCTTGAACAAACCGAAAACACACAATACTCACCAAGCCTTAAGATGGATTCTAAAAAGAAAGAAACAGAAAAGAAGGCCTAAAAGTACAGGAAGAACGGACTTGGACATGGAGAGCTCGTGCTGGTGGCGTGTACTCAAGTATGGGGTGAGAAAAGGTGATGATGATGTTGTTGGTTTTTTTGTTTTTAAATTTGTTTCTTTAATGGACCTGGTGGACCCCACGAAAAAATCTTCGAGCGAGAGCAAGGCCTTTTTTCGGTTCAAATGTCATTATACTCAGAGGAACCTACACTCATCTAAATAACTCCATTCGAATTGCCATTGTTCCTGGACATTCAAACATATGTTTGGAATCTTCTTTTTCATGGCTGCATCTTCATACACAAAGTTCTGATACCATCTCAAGCTCAAATGATGGTCCGACCGCAGTCTCACTAGCTCATCCTGGTCCCATCGACATGGGATATTTTGTTCCTGCTTATTGGAGTACCCAGAATACTCCTGCTGCTGCTGCTGCTGCTGCTATTGCTGCTGCTATTGCTGCTGTTGATTATGATGATGATGATGATAATCATGGTAATCATTAAAAATTTGTCACACGTAGCTCACGCAGAACTGGCACAAATTAAATTTGGAAAAGGGAAGGGGGGGGCAGTAGACCAGGCGCAGTTCGTCCATAGAGCACGATCGTGCAGTGCCGCCCAAATTCTTAAAATAACGTAAAACACCCACAAACATAAAATAAAAGAAGCAAGAAACAAGCAATAACCAGATATAATATAAAAACTGTCATTTCTATGTCTATATCGCCGTAAAACATCTACTGTGCCATGCCAAAGTCCACACGCTTTAACTAAACACAATAGGATATTCAACACTGGTAACCTGACCTATAAATCGCTCTTTGGGATAACCCAAGAGATGACGACACTCGTAGCGAGTTTGGCGGTACATAAATATTAATAACCCGGCACATCTCATGATATGTGCTCCTGCCGAAAAGTGCCGATACATAGCCCACAGTAGACAGTCTAAAAATAAACGCGACAGACTGTACCCTATTCAATGCCCAAAGTATGTGAGCCTCGGAGCAATCCAGAGGAGTACTCAAGTGAATTATTATTGGTTCATCGTCTTGCCGCTATTTTAAGTTACTCTATAACCGTGAACCTGAGGGAGGTGAACGTGACATACTTAAGTCCCGGTCCTATGGGTTGTGCCTTTGAATGGATTGTAGTGGAGTGTTCAGTTCTCATGCAGGATGAACGAATTTGATGTTTCACTAACAAACAGATTTTAAGTTCTAGAAATCAAAGCGACAAATAAAAAGAATGAAAATAAAAGGACGAGGTCCTCCCTCACCAACCCAAAGATCCTAAAATTATACACCATCTCATTTACTACGCCCTTGACAATCTTCAGCCTCTGAGAGCTTAATTGTGCACGCCCACTTTTTAGCCCCACGAGCCGCCCCTGTGGTAGTTGTACAATCAACTGCAACGTTGAACATCCAGGCCTTTATGAACATCTGATTAAATATGACCAACTCTATTCAAGTCTAAAGTATTTTTTTTCTACTTCAAAACCAGATAATGAGAATGATCACGATGATGTTACTTGTTCAGGAATCACGCTCTAACCAAATTCCCGAGGCTATCTAAAACAGGCTTCTGACGTAAACTGCTGATGGTAAAGACTTGTTTTCTCATTCCAGACTCATTGCTCTCAATCCTGCTACCAAAGAAACTCCTCATTAAGTGCAATGTAGCCTACTAAAAATACTAACATAATTCTCTTCTCATCTTTAATTAATAAATGCGTACACAAGTTTCCGGAAATGGTTCTTATTGCCAGGATGGAACAAACCACAGCCTACTCATGGTCTCTATTTGTGACCAATGTATCAAGATCTATGATTAGAATTTCCTTTGAGTGTAATGCACGCGGCGCGTTTCTTGAGGTGGTACATTTAAGGATTCACGTCAAAATACGTCACTCACACATAGTCCTGAACTTGTCCCAACACCTATAAGAAACTTTAAGATGCTCCTTTGGCTTATCATTCAGGCATTTTGCGCATAATCGACACACTTTTGATCATTTATGAAGCGGTCTGTTTAACCCCAGCCGGTCAGAGCAATCCCGACAGACAGAGAAATAACGTTCTGGCAGACAGACGGAGGCACTGGAAAAAATATTTTTCTTTCCACACGGGAATATGGCTCATGTCTTTTGTGTGCAACAGTTAAGCGTCTAACCGCTACAACTACGTACCACGCACAACGCAGACATCGGTCTGTTTTGGGTAAGTTTTACGGCTCCTGCAACACAATAAGGTCTTAATATTATAAGTGCCGAAGATTAGAGGTGTTACAAGATAGTAACAAATACAAAAAAATGAAGGTTTTAACGAGTCAAAGGGCTATAATAATTATTATAATAAATCATCATGGTTGAAGAAACAACAGGTGGCCAAATTAGTGGCCACCTTCGTCATACACAAAATCCAGTTGCTTGTGGGATTCATGGTGCCATGTAGCCCATTTGTTATTAGACAAAACAGGAATGCAGTTGGGTGGGCGGACTCTAGATATTAAGTATGAGGAGTGTTTTGTTTTATCTTGTTTTGGTGTTTTCGCTTGTAGTTCCTTGTGTTCGTCGGAAGACTGAAAAAAAAGGATCTTAATTGAGGACTGCTTTTGCACTCACATCATATTAAATTAGCAGTACTAGAAAGATGTTATGAATTTGATATTATATATATATATATATATATATATATATATATATATATATATATATATATATATATATATATCTATATCTATATATATATATATCTATCTATCTATCTATCTATCTATCTATCTATCTATCTATCTATCTATCTATCTATCTATCTATCTATCTATCTATCTATCTATCTATCTTACTTACTTTACTTTTTTCTTCCGCTTGTACCCTGGGGTGTCGCGGGGAGACACAGGTGTCTGTCTGCAGCAAGTCGTGTGGCCTGTAGGAGGGACATCCCATGATCGTTAAGGGTGTCTGCCACAGATTCACTCCATCGTCGCCTTGGTCTTCCTCTGGCTCTCCATCCAGAATATTTAATGTTGTATGCTCTCAGAGCTGGATGGTTTGAGGGCATCCGCGTGAGGTGTCCGAACCACTTGACCCTTTGTTTTTCAATGTGTGGTAGGACTGGTGTTGCTCCCACGGTGTCCCTAATGACTTCATTTTTAATTTTGTCTCTTCTTGTTTTGTTGACCGCTCTTCTTAAGCATTTCATCTCGCATGTGACCAGTTTCCTCTCTAGGGCTTTTGTTAGAGTCCATGTCTGGCACTGATAAGTGAGCGTTGGAAGGAAAATGGCGTTGATGAGCTTCGCCTTGGTGCTCATGAGGATATTGGGATGTTTCAGGAGAGGGCCCAGTTGGTAGCTGACTGCGTTGGCTCTCTGGCATCTAGTCTCTATCTCTCGATCTAATTTTCCATTTTCTGTGAAAATGCTGCCCAAATATTTGAATTCTCTGCTTTGTTTTAGTTGGGATCCATTGATGTTGATATCCACTTTACCTGGTCTCCTGCTAATTGTCATGACTTCGGTCTTGCTTATGCTGATCTTCATGTCATATTTTTCGCAGCTCGCATTTAGTTGGTTTATATGCTCCTGTAGCTGAGTCTTGTTGTTAATCATTGCCAGGTCATCTGCAAACATGAGTTCGTTGAGTGCCTCTGGGTCTGGATTGGCCTCTTTTGTTATCTGGTCCATGTAGATCACGAAGAGCAGAGGGGAGAGATTGCAGCCCTGTCTCACTCCGGATGTTACTGGAAACCAGTCCGATGTTCCACTGGTAGTTCGGACAGCGCTTCTGCTGTTGGCATAGATAGCCCTGATGTTGTCTAGCAGTTGTCCCTTGATGTCGTACTGCTCTAAGATCTTCCATAGCTTGTTTCTATTTACTCGATCAAAGGCTTTTTCTTGATCCACAAATACGAGGTGGAGATCTTTGTCGTATTCCAAAGCCCTCTCACACAGTTGTCGGAGTGCGAAGATTGCATCAGTGCACCCTCTTCCTTTTCTAAAGCCAAATTGGGCGTCACTGAGAAGATGTTCGGTTTTTGCGCGAGTACGTCGCTCTAGGATTTTTGCATACATTTTCCCAACATGGCTGAGAAGAGATATGCCTCTATAGGTGTTGCAGTCTTTCTTGCTGCCCTTTTTCTTCCATATTGGCACCACTATCGCATTTTGCCAGTCTGCTGGCACTTTTCTTTCTTTCCATGCTTTTTGAAAGATGATTGTAAGCCAATGTATTCCGGTTTCGCCGCATGCAAGGATGGCTTCGGTAATGATGCCATCGTCTCCAGCTGCCTTGTTCTTTGGACTAGTTTTCAGTGCTTCTCTCACTTCACTCTCCAGGATGGTAGGTTCTGAGTGCTCAGGGTAGTTGGCGGTGAATGGGCACTGTGTGTTTTGTGCCTGTACTGATGGGTTTAGTAGTTCTTGAAAATATTCTTCCCATCTTTTTCTTCGTGCAGAGCTTCTCCATTAGTATCGTTGATGACAGTGGTTGGTACATAGGGTTCGTCTCTCGTTCTCATTGTCTTTACCTTCTTGTAGAACTCTCTCGGTGAGGTCTTGCAGGTTTCACTTAGTTTTTCGCCATACTGGGTCCATGACTTTTCTTTTGATGTTATAACGACTTTCTTACTGTGTCTTCTTGCAAGTCTATATTTAATGTAGTCCTCTTCGTTTTTTGACTTGACCCATACATTATACAGTCTCTTTTTCTCCTTGATAGCATCTTTAACTTCTTCGTTCCACCAGGCTGTTGCTTTTCTGTGTTTTCCTCTTGTTTTCTTGGTACCACAGATTTCTTTCATTGTGTCCAGGAGAGTTGTTTTGAAGGTACCCCAAGCTTCCTCTACGGTTAGTATTGTAGAGTTGATAGAGCCTAGTTTGTCATTTAACGTGCTTCTGATCTGAGCCTGCACCTGATCGCCTCCAAGTTTATGCATATTTAGTCTCTCTTGCTGTCTTTTATGTTTTTTTGGTTTTCTTTCTTTCTTGGTGGTCAACGTTGTGATGATTGGCCTGTGGTCTGTGTCCAGGCCTGCATTGGGGATGGCTCTTGAGTCTGTGATTGTGATCCGCATTCGTGTTCTCGTTAATATGAAGTCGATCTGTGATGAGACCATGATGTTGTTCCATCTGTACCATCTATCTATCTATCTATTTATATATATATATATATATATATATATATATATATATATATATATATATATATATAGTTTTATATGTATGATTATACACACATACATACAGACACACACACATACAAACACAAATACACACACAAACAAACTCACACATTACTTGATTGTCCTTTTTGAGTAAAGAGAACCACATCAACAGAATAATGGTAATTTAATATTGGGAAAGCACAAGACAGACAAGGACCTACAAGTGGCGCCCTTCTACCACCCGCTAGTCTGCTTACTTTTAGGAAGGGCTTTCACAAATCTGTCTGCCCCGGTCATAATCAGTTGTAAGACGCAAGGCGTTATTTGGAGCTATGAGGATTGAAAGGCTAAAAAGTGACTTTCCATGCATCTTTTGTTTTCTGGATCTATTGAAAGTATGTCTTCTCATTCACCTAAGATCAAAATAAACAGCTATAATCGACAATATTTTTTGGTTGAAATTTTGATTTATTTTGGAGGTGTGCGTGAGTGGTTTGTTGTGAGCTTGGGTGATACGAAAAAGAAATTTGGACCTCAAACCCTTTCGAGCATTTGACCTGCTGTATAGTTGTGAGATTATTTATAGAACCATTTCCTTATAGCCACATTGTTTCAATGTCCTCCATTCGCCCCTATTTTTAGATTTAGACACCTTTTCGAGCAAGAAGGGTTGAAATAGAAACAACTTAGCGTCATTATGAACGCTGAGGGCTCTTATTGGTTAAACGGGGTAAGAACGCTAACCCGTAGCCCACTTCAAGCTTGTTTCCGTAAACAGCTGACTGTGTAGGTGGGCCCTGCTAGCTCAGTTATGGGCTGTTGATCTTTAAGTTTCACACCTCGATTGACTTTAAAAGTTTGTTTTTATTGTGTTTTAGCGGGGATTGTTCCTCTAGATATCCCAAGGTGGACTCCCTACCAATATGCCACCGAGGCGGTCTATGTGTATGTGTGTAAGTATATGTGTGTATTTGTGTGTGCATGTGTGTATGTATGTGTGTGTGCGCTCGTGCGTTTATAGTGCTATTGCAAACATAATAAGGAAATATGAACACGGCACGTAAGCCGACTCGCGGCCTTCCGAGCTCGTGGTTTTGGTGAAATCGAGGTAATTCAGAGGGAAGTTGTTAGGAGACTGTACAGTCCACTAGCGCTGCTTTGTGCACTGGGCGACTGCAAAGAAACAACCTTTGACCTTGGGATCGAGGTCAACAAGCCATCAACAGCATTAAAATTTCCTCACATGAGCGTCATGACAAATTGACGACATGACGCCTGATTCCACTTGTTGACGAAGTTTTTGGCAGTTACCAGCGATGTTTTGTTTGAAAAATTTAATGAGTAAACCACCGCATCCACAGGTGGCGGATAGTGGAACGGCCTACATTATGTAGGGTAGCTGCGAATAACAAATAAACAGTCGCAGACCAACTGGCGACAGTCTTGGAGAGCGAGGTGGGACAGGGTGGTGGCAACCCTCTCTATAAAATACCTCATGTGCTCAGTAAAGAGACTGTCAGGCGAGAGGGAGGCGCCGAAACCTGCCACCTGCCCCGCTGCATTGTGGGTTAGTCTTTTTGGGCTAGTTGAGTAAACAGTACAAAAATCCAGCAGAAGGTAAGGAGAAGCCACTGCTGTATTCTTTCCCAAAAATATCATGAATCATAACATTTCAATAAGACAGAGTGAAGTGGAGGTCCATGATCGCCTACGCCAGTCGGCAAGGCACCGGGTGATGATGAATGAGTATAATAGAGCCACCCACTGTTTGCGTTTTTTAGTCTGAAAGGTGAATGTCGAAAGGTTTGTTGATTCAGTAGAATTGATGTAGACTACAATATTGTAATAGTTCTTACATTGTAGATCTAGATCATACTGATACTTATCTAGTTCTAGTAAGTTCATTAGTATGGTGGGAGAATCTAGATCTATAGCCAAGCACTTTATTTAAGGCAACTGTATCATTTATGTCGACAGGTTTGTTGATCTAGGATCTATCTAGATCTAGAAGTACTTGTAACATGGACTGTAGTCTGCACAACATGGTAGGTCTACACTTCTTCAATTAAAAAAAAATGCAGTCTGTGTCTATAATATCTACACCTAGATCTAGTTTAGATCTAACACCTAGACTTAGATCTAGCAGTATCCCTACTGTTAGCATTACCAAATATTCCCAACTACCAAGATATTGCAATCTTTCTTTGGGCTTTTGTCCCACGCCATGGCGGGCCCGCTTCGACGATTAGCGCGTGATGGGCTACGTCACAAGGTGACACGAGGTTAGTCTCATCACCGACTGCTTGGGGTCTGTGTGCGTTTCTTTGCAGTCCCCCAGTGCACAAAGCAGCGACAGGGGACTGCACAGTCCCCGAGTAAACAGCGCTAGGGGGCTGCATAGTCCCCCAGTGGGTAACGCTAGGGGACTGCATAGTCCCCCAGTGGGTAACGCTAGGGGACTGTACAGTCTCCTGACAACTTCCTTTTGATTAAGCATGATTAACCCTACCAACTAGGACTAAACTTGTTGCTTTTTTCTGTTTGCGTTCACCTCCCTCCCCACCCCTTAATCATCCCAGTTTAAATCATTTCGGAGGCGGGCTTTGTCCCTGTCTGCCAGGGCAGACTCGATTTGAGAGGGAGGCAATGTCTTAACAGAAAGACCGAAATAGGGGATGTAAACTCTCCCCATTTGGGGGGGGGGGGGGTATTCGACTTTGATCATTTGTGGGAAAGGCTGATTTGGTTCAGACGCACGTCTGTCCAGGACAGAAAATGATACAGCACCCCAGCAGAGAGACAGGGATATATGTACAAGATTTGTAAAAAAAACCAAAATAAATAAAAAATTAAAAAAAGAAAGAAAGAAAAAAATCCTTTCCATTCAGAAATCAAACTTTGCCACGGCAAAGAGACGGACTTCGACACAACAAACTCTAGTAATCATGAGAGCATGAGAAAAGAAAACACAAGATGAAGATGAACCCACAAATATGACATCTAAGTACAACATACACAAACGAATGGGCAATTAGCCAAGAAATAGCGAAGAAGAGATAGTTGAAAAATGACAATGAAAACATGACTTTCACTTTGAGGTAAGAAAAGCATGAAGCACTTTGAAAAGCAATGGCCATTTTAGAGCAGATGGAAAGTAGGACAGGTAGCAGACAGAAATAGCAGTGGGAGAGAACAGAAAGACCCCCAAGACGCGCCAAACAAACACACGCGATGAAAAGAGAATAAACATGAATACCTTACCAATAAAACGTACAACAAAAAAGAAGACCAGTAAGATAGATTCCACACTATAAATTTATTAAATATATGCACGTTATATTTCAGCTTGAAGTTCAAAAGGAGATTTTGCGCAGTTTCCATTTTGTACAAAAGATTCTGAAAGCTCCGCTGAGGTTCAAAGAATAAGCACACAATAGAGACTATGATAGTCCAAATATTAAAGAAATTCAGTTTTTCGAATTCTTGAACTGTTCTTTAAACGGTCACGATTCACGTTCGAATAGGTCAACAACGTGGGATTGGAGCTAAGTGAAGATGGGGTTAGAGCTATTTCAAGATATGAGTTCTACAGAGTCCCCAACATGGGGTTGGAGCTAAGTAAAGATACAAGTTCTAAAGGGTCAACAACGTGGGGTTGGTGCTAAGTCAATATGCAAGTTCAAAAAAGTTAACAACATGGGGTTGGGGCTAAATCATGATACGGGTTCTCCAGAGTCAACGTGGGGTTGGAGCTAACTCAAAATAAAGGTTCTTAAAGGTCAATAACGTGGGGTTGGAGATAACGGAATACATGGTTTCTAAAGGGCCAACAATATGGGGTTGGAGCTAAGTCAAGATACAACTTTAAACGCGGGGTTGGTACTAAGTCAAGAAACAAGTTCTAAAGGGTCAACAATGTGGGGTTGGAGCTAAGTCAAGATGCAACTTTTAAACGGCTAATAATGTGGGGTTGGAGCTAAGTCCAGATGCAACTTTTAAACGGCTAATAATGTGGGGTTGGAGCTAAGTCAAGATGCAACTTTTAAACGGCTAATAATATGGGGTTGGAGCTAAGTCAAGATGTAACTTTTAAACGGCTAATAATGTGGGGTTGGAATTAAGTAACGTAGGTTCTAAAGGGTCAACAACGTGGGGTTGGAACTAAGTCAGAATAATAATAATGTAGATCATTTCTATAGCGCTCACTCTCGTGTGAACAGAGCTCTTGGCTCTTTACATAAAGGCAAGTACGAAAAATATTCAAGTACGAACAATATTCATGCACATGCACGCACACGCACGCGCACGCGCACACACACACACACACACACACACACACACACACACACACACACATCTACATGTACTTGCTTATCACACGCGTACGCCTAAACATTGTTACGAAATGAGCACATACAAATATATCAATAAATTAGTATACACAATGCAATTCGCAAAATACATAAATGGATACATAGTCATTTACATACATTGTACTGAACATGTAATTTACTGACATGAAAATGATATGTCTTTAAAGACATTTTGAATTTAGACTCAGATGTTGTATGTCTCAAGGATTGAGGAAGAGAGTTCCAAACTGATAGGGCACGGTGGGGAAACCATCTTTCAGCTAATTTTTATCTCCTTTTCTGGGAAATCTTAAAAGATACTGATCGCCTAAACTTAGTGATCTAGGTGGAACATAAATCCGAATGAGATCGCTAAGATATGAGGGAGCTTTGTTATTGACACATAATTTATTACATAATATTACAATTCTATATGGGTTCTAAAGAGTGAATAACGTGGGGTTGGAGCTACGTCAAAATACAACTTTTAAAGGGCTAAGAACATGATGTTGTATGTATGTATGTAGTATAGGGTTTTACGGCGCTCGCAACTGCTAA